GCAAGTATTTATAAAAACCTGTTCTATTTCTAGTTTGAGTGACAGCTTAGGGTAGTAGATAGAGCCATGGTTTTAGAGGACAGCTGGCTCCAGGTCCTGCTGCTTACCACCTCTCGGGGTGACTTCTCTGGGCCCTGGACACCTCCAACTCTCTCTGCTGAAGAGCAGGGGCTCCTCTGCGATGGCAGAGGGAGTCATCGCCTCTTAGGGAACTCCCAATATCAGTGAAGTCACAGGGCTGCACCAACAAAACCCCTAAAAAACTTAATCAAAAAAGTTGAACTTTTAAAAATCATTTTTTCCTTTGTTAGGATCTAATAAGGATAAGGTACTTTTTTTTAATTGAGGGCCACTGGCCTACTTTAAAAAAAATTAAAGCCTAAGAGGGAGAAAAAGGTAACTTATTCAATAGTTTTAAAAGTATAATAGAAACCTTTCATCTGATTTTTAGTTCAGATCAAGAGATGAGAAGTACACTACCAGCCTCCTTCGGCTGTAGATCAGCATCATTATTATTTCCCCATCCCTGGACCAGTGCTTCCATTGGTCTGGAGTCTAGGGACCTCCAGGTGGGAAAGTCTCTATTAATGTATGTCTGGAGCTCATCTGTAACTTACAGTCCCGGGGCATTAGCTGGAGGCAGTGAGTGGTTAAGTAACCTATAGTTGATTCCACAGGAGTGTGTAACAGATAGGATATGACCCCACATCTTCCTGCCTGGGAAGCAGCTCTCTGTCTACCACAACACACGGCTGCTTGATTCAGTAATATTGCAAATAATAAACATACTTCAGCTCTATATTATATATTATTATTCAATAATATAGCGAAAAAAGACTTTGGTTCTATATTATTATTGTGTCTGTTATGTATTATTCAATAACATAGCAAATAATAAAAAACACTTTAGCTCTATATTATGACCAATTAAGGGAAAGAATATGGGAAAGGAAAAAAAAATAAAGACAGAGAGAAATAGATAAATCATTGGTCGGGGTGGGAGAGGTGAGGTATACGCATGGGGGAAGGGAGAAGAGAAAGAAGGGACTTAGGAGGTTGGTGATGAGTCTATTTTCTGTTCTGAGCCATTGTTTCCTTGGGCTATGAGTGTTAAAATAAGTTTTCAATACCTGTTGAGATTCCAGGGAGCTCTCCAGCAACTTAGCTTGCATGGTGCCTAGGGTTCTAGAGTCTAGGTTTGGGGACCTTCAAAATCCCCTAGACCAATTGTACAAATGTACAACTTTGTTATCCAGAGAAGAACAGTGATTTGTTCAGGGCCACCTTAGGAGCAGTGGCAAAGGCAAGATTTGAATTGGAGTTGATTCCCATTAAGGAATTTTCATCCAAATTGTTGACCATTTTCTGATCTGTTCACATAATACTTATGTGTACAGTGGTAGCTGGAATGATTATTTTAGCTTAGTGGTGGGAAACCCCTCTGACTCAGAGACCAAGGTTTAGCCTGTGGCTTATTTTTTTCCCTGCAGCTCAGAGCAAGTAGAATCATAGTGTTTTGGAGCTGCTTTCATGATAATTGCTCTGGTCACCATTTTGAAGTTTAGAGATCAGTTTCCACTCACTCAAGGTGGCATCTGTCTCAATTTGAGTCATCCATGGGATAGCAGGACTTTGAAGTTTGCAAAATGTTTTACCTATGCTATTTCATCTGCCAATCCCAAAAACCCTCTGAGGGAGGTAGGGGCTATTACTATCTCCATTTTATAGATAACGAAACTGAGGCTGAGAGAGATTAAGTGACTTGCCCAGGTAGAAAAATCCAAATTTAAACCAAGGTATTAAGACTCCAGGCCTCCTTTTTTGTACACTGCGGTTCTTCTAACGGTCTGAGAAGAGAGATAGAACAGGGATTAAAGCAATCTTTTCATTAGGGATTTGAGGAACAATCTTTTTAAAATATTTTCAAACATTAATGTTTGTTTTCCCTGGAATTCAGTGGATTTTGCTTGAGTGTGAAAGAGTGATTTAGGTTTTAGAAATTTGTTTTGGAATCTTAGATGTTTAAAACTGCCAGATTGCCTTATCTTTTTTTTCACTGAGGTATTAGGTCTGCCTAAAGATCATAATTCTATGTGGCATTTACATCAAAGTGTGGTATAGAAGACAGAAGGCAGATCTTGGAGTCAGGAAGATCTGGGTCCCATTTAACTCTCCAAGACAGGTACTCCAGACCTGCCACAGATCTATGGGTAGGCTTCAGGGGGCCTGAGAACTTGGATGGGAAAAGGTTCCATCTTTATTTTTTTTACCAGTCTATGAATTAAAAAGAAAGAAAGAAAGAAAACCTATTCTGAGGAATCCATAGGCTTCAACAGTTTGCCCAAAGGGATCATGATAGAAACAAGATTGAGAATCTTCACTCAAACTATAAATTACAGGTCAAGTGCTGACCTCTCACTGATGGAAGAGATTTCTATATTGGGAGTTCCCCACACTAATGAAATCTCCAGTCTGGATCTCTCAGTCATTAATTTAGAACAGGAAGGAACTTTAGAAATCATCTAATTTATAGATGAGACTCTTCATTCAGGTATTAACAAGTAGAACTGAGATTCCAACCCCAGTCCTATGACTTCAGAACAAGTGATTTCCACCCCTCCCGCCAATAATATCACACTGTGCTTCATGGCTGTGAGCTATCGTTTTCCCAAACTGTGCTCACTTTTTTGTCTTGGTGGCTTGTCAGGGCAGAATAAATAGTGGAAACAAAGTTAAAAATCCCTTCAGGAGTTTATGAGTTAATTAATAAAACATAAGAAAATCTCTCCAGCACACTTTCTGGGTACTTTCTAATGTTTTTGTACTATTTGACCATGGTCTGAAATAAGGCAGGAAAGTCCTGTGGGTTCTGAGATTTGATCCTGACCCCTAGGGATTCCTGATTGTCATAAATCGAGCCCAGTGCCCTGTGGCATTCTGGTCTGAGAAACATCCCCAAGGCCTTTGCATTCTTCTTTCTGCCCGTGGTCACACCCCAACACGAGGAAGAGAAAGTGTGATACCAAAATGGAAGTGTTTTACAGTTAGGGCATCTTCAGGATTTGGCCTTCATGGAGTGATTTTGTCTTGGAGGTGAAAGTAGTGACAGTCCCAACATTACCTTATCTTTTACCTCCCAAGAAGATTTAAAAACAGGAGTGAAATGAAAAGTTCTGAACCAGCCATTGAGGTGGGGGAAAAAAGGCATGAATACCTTTAGGGAATGTTTTTTTTAGGATGGTGATTTTTTTTCACTATCAAGACAATCCAAACTACAAAAGAAAAAAGAAAAACAGTAATATGCACACACACATACATATGTGTGTATATACATATATGTGTATATATATGTATATATGTACACACATACACACCCCTTTCTCTTCCTTCTTCAGACGGAGGCAATGAATTGTTTTTGCATTTCAAAGTATCAGAATTGTAGTATTTATGGATAAAAGAAATCCTAGAGAAGAGAAAGCACACCCAATTCCATTTTACAGATAAAGAAACTGAGACCCAGAGTAAAGCATTTTGCCCAAAGTTAAATATAAGAGCAGTGATTTGAATGTTTTGTGGGTTTTTTGTTTTTTTTTTTTTTCTTTTTGAGTCAGAGGTTAAGGTGAGTGGGGTGGGCAGATGGTTGGGGAAGGGTACTGGTAAGCCTGCATTTCAAGCTAACATATCTAAAAAGGAATGAACAAGATGAATTTTACCTTTTCAGGGAAGATGGGTCTTGGCATGTTATATGGAAAAACCTTCAGTTTTTTAAAATGGCTTAATACTTATTTGGTTCCTTTCTATCATGGATTGTTTTCAGAGGACACAAAAGGCATTGACGCGGCTTTCTCAGATGTTTTTCCTTTACTTTCAAAATTCTGTTTTGATATCCCTCATCACGGTAATGCTTGCCACGTGTACATGCAGTCATTTCAAATCATCCTGGGTAACAAGGAGGAGAAATAGTGACTAAAAGGAAAACCAAACCTCAGCATCTAACTGCCACCATGAGTCAGCATGTTATTTAAACAGGGTGAGGTATAAGCAAGGAAACTGACATGCATCAGTTTCACTTCCTTCAAAAACCACTTTATAGGACTCGATTTTATATTTGTATAAATGTATATAGATAGATGGTAATTAAGATATAGATCGATCATTAGACATACACACAGAAAGAAAGAAATTGTGATATCGTTCATATGGACGTGCAAAGTTAGTTTATTATGCTATGCTCTTCCCCCTTCATATGTGATGGGAATTTGGTAAGGATTTCTCAGAAGAAACTTAGAGTTCACAGCACTTTGAGATATCGGAAGGAATCAGAGATACTCTTAGGGCACGTTCCTGGGGTCAGTGGGTCTAATCAGAGTATCTGCTCTGATTTTGATCAGGTTTGTCTGCACCACCTATGTGAAGCCTTTCAAATGGAAATCTGAATGTTCTGTGACTTAAAAATTGTGCAAAAGGAAATGTCCAGTTTAAATGTCCAGTTGAGCCTATTCCATTCATGGATTTGCTGTGTGCTCTTATTCAAGTCTTGACTAAGGCTCATCTCAAAGCTGAATTGCTTGGCGGCCCAACCTGGAGGCCTCTTGTAAATAAATGACAGCAATTTCTCTGGCTTGTGTTTGCTAGAGGATGACTTCTCTGTAGTTGGTATTTAAGTATTACAAAAGATGCATGAAGGGAAAATGAGTTTTCAGGAATTTGCATCTAAATAAAAGTCATATACTACTAGGAGCAGGGTCTGTCTGGGATCCCTAGCACTTCTTCACATGGTGCCTTGTATATCCAGTTGGCATGGCATTGAATTGAATTGAAGTACTCTGAAGACCAAAGATATGGGAATGGTGAAGGGAGAAGGGGACTGATGTTAATTACAGAGGACTAATGCTTAAAACTGTTAATGTGAAAGAAAAATGGGCATTTTTGTTAATTTGATAGATGTTAATGAAGAGAAGTACTTGCCTTAATACCAGTTTCTTTGTTGTTTTTTAAAGAATTCAGAAAGAACTTGCAGAAATAACATTGGATCCTCCACCAAACTGTAGGTAAGTTGAAGTGGATTTTTATTAATTTCGGAGTTTGTGCTGAAGATGTATTTAAAGTGATGAGGAATTCAGTGTTGTTGCCTGTCTTGACCCAATTAACTAGACAACATCATTTTGATGCAAAAAAGCTGCAGGAGCCATTGTTTTCTTCACAGAGATGGAATATTCTGCAAGGATGGTTGTGTTGATAGAAGTTGCTAAAAATAGGGCTAGGTAATAAGGATGAGATAATAGAATTGCAAGATGACAGTTTGAATCATCTTTTAGTGTGAGAGTGATGGTTCTAAGCAATTTCTTTGCTGTGATGAAAGAATATTGATTTGGTAACAGTGGCTGAATATTTTATGTTTGATTATTAATTAATTAATTAATTGGGAAAGTCAGTGTTAAACAGGAAAATATGGGAAAACTTTTTGGTGTTTTACCTTGCATAATTTGTTTTCTGGCTGTTGCTTCTGCCTTCATATGAATGGTTCTATTTGGTGATAGAGGTTTGATTTAAAATGATCTATGACCACATGCACTTGATTTTCGTATAAACATTTACTTATGTGGACTAAAACGTGCGGGCTTTGAAATGATGAATGACATAGAGGTACATAGAGAAATGGGGCAAGGGGAGAGGAGAGGGGGAGAGATAGAACTTGCCTCTAGTTTGGTAATTTGGAGATGTCTGTTTCAGGACATTTATTTCTATTTTGATATAAGGTCAGTGTTGGAACTGTGCCAGCATTGAGTTCTGATGGTTTAAGATGGTCCCTTGATGCCTTTCATGAGAAAAGGTCAGACTAAATAAAAAGGAAGTCTCCGAAATGGTATGCCATTGGAGCTGATTCTTTGGTATGACTTTATATCACTTTCCATGTTCTCAGTGAATCACTGTAAAAGCAAAACCAGCAACTATTAATAAAAGAGAGATGCTGACAGATAGCTATCTTTGCAGTTTGACAAAAGCCTGCGCATAAGGAAATGGTTCTGATGAGGCCTTTGTTTGTGGGAGATCTTTTGGGTGTAATGCAGGTGCTTAGAGGGGAAAGTGCCCTCTGTAGCAGAGGCCTTGCAAAATATTGTGCAAAGAGTATTTCAGCCAATTAGGGCAAAAGCTTCTTTACTAGATAAGATGGTTTACTATCTATCTACTCCTTTCTATTATGTTTACAGCTGGTTCTCATCAAAGCTGTTATAAAGAGCTTTACTTTAGGCATTGATGACTAATGATGATTAACACATTGATAAGTATAAAACACTAGCCTGTTGGGGAAAAATTCATAACTGGAATTGTTTGAGCTAAATCTGAAACCCATAGTTCTTACAAGAGTTTTTATTTGTTTTAGCTTTCTAAATCCTTTCCCTATGACAGCAAAGCATAAACTGATTTTTTTAAAAAATCATATTTCAACTGATCAACAAAAGATTTTATAAAAACTTCCTTTTAACAACTAAAATGGGAAATTTGTCAACTGTGTACCTGCCATTCTTTGCCGAAGCTTTGATGCCAGAGATCATGAGGGACATTTATTGCACATCAGAAACTCTCTTAGCAAAGCTGAGCAAGTGGGTTGGAGTGGTTTGCTTCAGTTGAATAGTCGGGAAATGGTTCAGGCATCCTGGCTACCATTGGCCTGACCATTGCCCATTGATGTCATAGCGAACATTTTTTAAAGATGATGGCTGACTTTATTTAGCTTTGACTTAGTTACAAATAACAATTGAGCTTTTTGCAACTAATGATACAGCTGGCATGAAATCTCAGGATATTGAGACAACAAATATGTAAGAGTTGTCATTCACTTATACTAAAATAATTCACATTATTAAAGGAAAAACTTTTGTCATGTTCAAAGCAGAAAGCAGCTTAAACACTGTATCAAATCTAAGTGAATGTGGACATGGAAACCATTACTTTTTTGAAGTAGATTTAAGCCAGCGTGAGAGGTTTATGGTTTCATTGCTGTTTTAATTAATAGCTTACATTTATATAGCGTTTTAAGGTTTTCTCAGCATTTATACAAGCATCATTTCATCTGATCCAAACAACAACCCTGGGAGGTAGGTGCTTTTACTGTATTATCCCCATTTTACAGATGAGGAAAGGGAGGCTCAGAGACGTTAGTGATTTGCCCAGGGTCACACAGCTAGTTTGACTTAGGTCTTCCTGACTTCATGTTGAATGCCGGGCACCACCCTGCCCAGAAACAATAATGCCCTTAGGGGTTTAACTGTAAATTCTTTATAAAATAAGGAAAATCCACATGAGATTTTATTTTTAAGTGAACAGTATATATCTAATAGCTACCCAGACCAAGGTTTGCTTAAACGTACACTAACTTGTCTACTCAAGAGATTTGTCAAGGAAATCCATTAAGTGTTTTGAGAACTGGCCAGTTCCCATGAGAAGCTATATTTGTCCTGCTCTGGGTTTGGCTGGTTCTTCAGGGGTCAGTCCCAAAATAGTTGCTTGGTCTGGGTCATAGAGAGGTCAATGTCATTTGCCATTCACATGGTGCTACCAACTGGCAAATGCGGGATCCCCTGTTGTCCTTGTGGCCGGCATGGAAGTGATCAATTTTGATTTCTCCATATGTGCCTCTGATATAAATTTTCAGCATAGTTGTTTAGTAGATGACTGTGGTCTTTGAATAACTTGGAATCAAATATTTGACTGCTGTTTGCTATAAATGTACGTGTGTCTATGTCAGTGAAAATGTGGTCAGTGTCTTTGGAACGAAGGCTTAACGTACATCTTCAGTATGGCTGTGTTTGGCCCAAGTATGGTGCTGTTGTAGGAACTTGGTTTGTTACACTTTGTGTTACTTTCACGCGTACCGCCTAGAGAATATAATGGATGATTTTTGAAAAAGAAATCTAATGCAAAAGAGGATCTGCCCAATAAGAGGTTTTAGAGTTCCCTACTTAGTTATAAACCATGAAGCGTATCTGGTTTCAGGAGAAACTGTCCACACACTGCAAAATCAAATACAAGTCTCACATTTCCTGAGATATCTGTGAGGCTGCTGTTACAGATCCATGTTCTATGCTAGCTCTCTGTTTAGAATGTCACACAGTGCCTTGGTGGGGCAGAGTGGGAAAAAGGAGGGAGCTTTGGAAGGGGGTGGGAAGAATGCTACTTGGAAATATTGACCTGGCTTGTCTCCCACATCTAGTCATCTTGACCAGCCAAAATATAGCTCATTTAGGCTTGGTCTAGAGCAGATTGGAGGCAAGACCACCTCTAATTTTGGCCTCGAATTTATTTATTCTTGGTAATTTAATTCAATTAGCTTGTATTAAATGACTTGCAATATGTAAGCTATTTACTAGGCACTGGGGATGTAAAGATAAAAAATGACATGGTCTTCTATCCCCACGGTTTACATTCTAAAAGGGGAGAGATGAAACATAGAATTCTAAGAATGTGATAAGCACACAGGAGCGATTCCTAGGAAAGACAGAATCCGAGACCCTAAGAATCCCCAAATACAACCTCCTAATTTTATAGATGAGGAGAGTGCAGTGACTTGCCCAGGGTCATACAGGTGGCAGAGTAAAGCTTTGGCTCAGGTCCTACGACTTTCTCCACCCTCCACATTGCTTCAAGGGAAATCTGAGAAGGAAGAAAATGCATTTCTAACACTTGGGGGTTTGGGATGGGGTGGGGAATTAAGGAAAGGTCCACCGGAAGCTGGCACTCACCTCACTTCTCTAGCTAGCACTCAGAAGCTTGTACGGTGCTTTCCTCAGCAGTCCTGAGAGTGAGGTAAGAAAATGAGGCCCTCAGAGGGCTCATTCGGCCAACTCCCACAGGGCTGCTCTGGGAGTCTCGCCCTCCTGACTCCAAGGCTCCCAGCGGCTGTCTAGAAGGAGCGCTGAGCATCATCGGTGTCTTCTAGGAAGATGCCCGTGTTCAGGGGATCACCATTCACATGTCTCCCTGGACTGGTCACCAAGCAAGTGAGGCAGGCAATGCTTCTTCTTTGGGCCCTGGGGCTCGATGAGGCTTCACATCGATAAAAATAATAACTCCCGATTAGGTGGTACCATATGGTTTGCAAAGTGCTTTACAAATGTGACCTCTTTGGATCCCCGTGACGAGCCTGGTCGGCAGGCAGATGTGGTTGTTATTCCCCACTTTGCTTCCCCTGAAGCAGACAGGTCCAGTCACTTGCCTGCTGTCACCCAGCTAACGTCTGAGTTTGAATGCAGGTTTTCCCTCGCTCTATCCCTGTGCCATCGAGCTCTGGAGGAAAAGCTTGTCTGTGCTGGGCCGATTGCAGCCATTGGAAATTACCGTTGAAATGTTAGTCGTCATGATTTACTCATGACCAATTTTAAATAGTCTGAAAAAGGTTATTTTAATAATTGAGGGACAGTTGGATTAGTAAGCAGAGGGCTGGCCTTAGAGACCAGCAGACCTGCCTCAGAATCCTGGGCCTATCACTTAAACCCTCAGGGCCCCAGGCAACCCTTTTAGACTGTAAGTATCAATCCCCAGTCTGCCCCCATGGAAGAAGTCTCCACACCTGGAATTCTTCATATCCAATGAAATCACACATCCAGATAATCTTTTTTTTTAACAGTCAGTAAAATGAATGTTCACTTACAAAGGGAAATATTAAACCAAAATATCCTCAGAATTTCATATTTTCAGATTTCTGGTTCCATGAGACAGACAGTAAATTAATTGTACTTTTGGTATTGGGTGAATCTTAAATGTTCTTTAGGCTATGAGAGTTTTGCTCTTCTGATCTAAAATTCTTGATGATCCAGGTAAGGTACTCAGTTTACAGAATTGCAGGACATCTAAATGTAATTATTTGTGGTTATAATGAAATTTGACATAAGCTTAGAATTTTCTAGAAATGGAAGAACATTCTTTATTCATATTCTCTTTGGTTGACATATTTCCCTCTGTATACAGTGTATTTCTTTTGTGCTAATTGAAGAATGTGCCTAGTGTTGGCCGAAACATCCCATCTGAGTTAATATATAAATGAACCAGA